CGCCTCTCCTGTGGCAGCCCAGAGAGAAAGTGTGACCCCGGCCCTAATACAAACCCCATTCTACAGAGAACACTGAGGCCCAGAAAGGAGCAGGGACTCACTCACCTAGGGTTCTGATCCCAACCATGTACCCCACCCACCTGAGGTAGTCGTAGAGGGAGTAGGCAGGCAGGAAGTCAATGTCGCTGAGGAAAACGTAAGGCGTGAGGGCCTGGGCCAAGGCCACGTTGCGAATCTGGTTGATGGGGTAGAGGGGACCCTCACGGTACACCACGTGGTAGGCCACATCCTGCCGGGCTGAGAGCACCTCCGAGGCCTCGACGAAACGCAGGAACTGCTGGGCTTCTGCGTCTGTCAGATACAAGGCCAGGCTCATGGGGCCCGGCCAGTGCCTGCACAGGGCCTCCAGCATCTGCAGCCTGGGGTGAGGCGGGTGGTCAGCCAGGGAGGGCTGGAATACCTTCCAGGTTAGCTGCTACGGACACCCCTTCCAAGCACTTTTTGAGCTGGTCTTACTTAATCTTCAGTTACCCCACCAGGTGGGTCCTTCTCATTGGACAGATGAGAAAACCGAGGGCAGATATTAAGACCTGCCCGTGGTCCCACAGCTACAGAGGAGCATCCGCAGCTGTCTGAGTGATTCCCAAAGCCCATGCTCTTCCCACCATATCCTGTTTCCAACTTCGGGAACTCCTGAAGTGCCACGCCCTGAGAGCTCTTCCTTCTACCAAATGCCACCTGCCTCTCAAATGCCCAGTCCCAGCCCCCGCCATGCTCTCTGGGGCTGCCTTCCGCATCCTCACCGGTCCATGGAGAGCTGAGCCACAAGGGTGACATCGTGGGGCCGGGGCGGCGGTGGCTCATGGGGCAAGAAAGTGATGTGCACACGGTGCACAGTGAGCTGCTGCTGCCGGAACTCGAAGCAGGCATCTTCCTCGTTGAGTTGTGCCAGGGCCTGCTGCAGCTGAGGGGGTCGAGGGCAGAAGGACCAGGCTGGGGCAGGAGGACCAGTCCCCAGACCAAGCTGGGTCACCAGAGCAGAGAGGGACAGAATCTCCCCAAGGCCAGGGAAGGCGACTCCCTCTCACCTGCTCGGCCTCCGGTGGGCGCAGGCTGGGGCACCCGAAGAGCTCTCTCCGCAGCAGGTTCCCATCGTGCTCCAGGAAGGTCAGGTAGAGGTTGCGGAAGAATTCCACATGCTTGTTCTTCACACGCAGCTTCTTCGGTGAGTTCCAGTGGATCGCCTGGGACCCGGGAGGGTATCAGTGGGAGGATGGGAGCAGGAGTCCCCATCCTGGGCTCACGACCACCACTCAGCCCCTCAGCCCCACTCACCTTGATGTCAGCCGCCTCCAAGTAGCAGCGCTCGGCCAGCGTGTGGTCAGACAGCTGCACATTCCAGACACAGGGCAGGGGCTGCACCAGTGCCGGGTGCCCCTTGATTACAGCATTGAAGATGTCCTGGGCAGAGACAGCCATCTCACCTTGGCCCTGAGCCTGCCCGACCCCTACCTACCCAGGGCTCCCCCGCCCCAGACCTGGTCGGCCAACGAGGTGGCGGGCAGGGTGAGGAGCTCCTGTGTAGCGGTCAGCTTCCACATCTGCTCCCAGCCAGCCTGCCGCAGCCGGTCCAGCCACAGGAGGATCACACCTGCCCACAGGGAGAAGAAGTCACCCCCACCTGGGACGACGGCTCCCAGAGCCAGGGGCATGACGGACTCTTTGGAATGTTTATTTTTTGACTTGCTGGTATTTTCTGTCAGGAGCAAGGATAACCTCTATAAACACTCAGTCCTCTTGGGGGTGAAGGAGAGTCACTGCACAGCTTCCAGAGCATGTCCACAACCACCTACTCACATTCAGTGATCCGGGGGCTGGTAAAATCCCCATTTAATGGATGAGAAAACTGAGGCACAGAGAGCCCAAGTGACTTGGCCAAAGTCATCCAGCATGGACAGCCAGGGTGGGCACTGTCTGCTGGCTCTTCTCCCCGTGTTCTTTCTACAGCACTATTCTTCCTGGGGGCTTCCTAGCATCCTGTGCCCTGCCCAGTTCCTGGAGTCCACGGGCCAGTGGCCACCACCACCACCACCACCACCATCCCCACCTGTGTTAAATCCCCTGCCCAAGGCAGGCCAGGGCTTGTGGTTCCTCCAGAGGTTGCCCAGGTACCAGTCGCTCTGATTCTCCACAAGACCGATCACCTGCTCGTCTGGGAGGGGAGGGCATGAGGGAGCTGCTTGAGGCTCAGGGCTAGGCCACAGGGCGGCTTGGACGGGCCAGGGCGGGGGGGGGCTGGCTGGGGCAGGTCCCAGGCCTCTCACCAGAAAAGTGAGCGAAGAGTGCCCAGAGCTCGGCAATGTCGGAGGCGAAGGTGACATCTGTGTCCAGGACAATAACCCGGGCCAGGTCAGGAGGCAGGGCACCGGGCAGCACTAGCTTCATTAGCCCATAGAGGCCAGAGTAATGCTTGTTGGGGACCCAGGAGACCTGGGGCTGTGGGTGGGAAGGGCAGGGCATGAGCCTGGCAGAGAAGAGCCCATGAGCATCAGAACATACTCAGTGTGACACAAGGAAAAGAAGGGTGAGCGCCGGGAGGGGTGAGGGATTTGCGCTTGGGTAGGTGTGATGGAACTATTCCAGGCAGCTCTAACCTCGCCTCTCCTCCCCCCAGGCCCGGGGAGGAAGGGGAGGGGGGCAGGCTGGGGAGGAGGAGAAGGGCCAGGGCTCCTGCCTTGAGCTCATTGGCGTCATAGAAGCTGACACGGACAGCGGGCAGCATCCATGTGTGAAAGAGCGTCTCCAGAATGTTCCTGGCCACGGCATCGGTCACCAAGTGGAGGTGCAGTGGGTTTTTCCTTTGGGAGGGACAGGGGAGGAAGGCTGGGAGGGCCCAGAGGAACAGCACGGGCCAAGCCCCACCCCAAGCGGCTCCGAAGTGGAAACACCAACTTTGCAATCCAGCTCAGGGCTTCATTCCGCCTCCACTCCGGCCGCCCCTCCCCCTCCACACCTGGCCGTACCTGTAGAAGAGCAAGGACTTGACCAGAGTGACGACGTCTCGGCTGGTGTGGTGTCCTGCACACACGATGGCCACGTGCAAGAGCTGGGGGCGGGGGAGACACTGAGGTTGGCAGATCTCAGCGAGGACCCGCGGGCTAAGGGGCTGGCCTGGCCTAGCGCGGTGCAGCCCCGCCAGGCATCGGAGCTGGGGAGGAGCAGGGGGCGGGAGGGGGCAGAGTCCACCCCCATCATTTCAAAGTGGGGAAACTGATCCCTGAAAGGGGAAGTGCGAGGTCCTGGCGCCCCCAGCTGTCTGGCCGCAAGGCCAGGTGTGGGGATTCCCACGGGTGG